TTGTTCTTTGTGTGTTTTGAATATTTTTAACATTAGTAGTATGAGAGGATTTATTGATAATAGGACTAGAAATTCTCTTTTTGGATGAACTTTCATTAGGGATGATTTGTAATGAGTTATTGATTGATTTAGGAGTGAAAGTAGTGGTAAGAGATGGACGAGTATTAAGATTTTGTTGAATAGACTTTGTTTTTGTTTGTTTAAAGTCTCTAATGATTTGATACATCTCATTGATTTTGTCTAAGATACATTTAAGATTAATAGCATGTTGTTTATTCCATTGAACTTGTTCTTCTTGCATCTCAAAGATTTTTTCATTCTGAAACTTAATTCCATCAAGTAATTGGATGATTTCATGTGGTATTTCTTTTTGCATTAATATTCATTTTGATTTCAAGATTAAAAAATCTTCTTTTCAACTTTATTTATCGGAAAGTTCAAGAAAATGAAAGTTAATTTCAACTCACAAGAACTAAATTATTATCATGTTCATCTCACAACCTACAAGGTCAACTTGCATTGGAATTGACTTAGGAACAACAAATTCATGTATGTGTGTTTTTGATAAAACAACACCTCGAATTCTTGAGAATGCAGAAGGAAAACGAACAACACCATCTTGTGTTTCTTTTACACCAACAGGAATATTAGTTGGAGAACCAGCAAAACGAATGGAAGCATTACATCCAACAACTACTATCAGTGGAATTAAGAGGATGATAGGGTGTCAATACAAAAATGATAAACAAGAAAGAAGACCTTATAAAATTGTTAAAGGAAGGAATGGAGAAGGATGGATTCATATTAATGGGAAGACATATTCTCCAACAGAAATTTCATCAATGATTCTTAAGAAATTAAAAAAAGATGCAGAGGCTAAACTAGGGAAAAGAGTAGATGAAGCAGTTATCACATGTCCAGCATATTTTAATGATGCACAAAGACAAGCTACTAAAGATGCAGGAACACTTTCCGGATTAAAAGTTAAAAGAATTATTAATGAACCAACAGCAGCAGCATTAGCATATGGAATAGATACAAGAAAATGAAGGAAAGAATAATGCAGTTTATGATCTTGGAGGAGGAACATTTGATATTTGTATTCTTAATATTAATAAAGGAATTTTCCAAGTTAAAGCAACTAATGGAGATACAATGGAGGAGAAGATTTTGATAAAGCTATTTGTCAATACATTTCTAAAGAATTTGAAAGAAAATATAAACGAAATCTTCAAGGAAATAAAAAAGGAATTAGTAGAATAAAGAAGTAGCAGAGAAAGTAAAATGTGAATTAACATCAAGTGAAGAAAGTATAATTTCATTACCATATCTTGATGGACAAGATTCACTTGAAATTACAATTAATAGAAGAAAAATTGAAGAATTATGTAAAAAAATTTGTAAAAGAACAGAATATCGTTGTATTCAATGTATGAAAGATGCAAAATTAAGAAAAAAAGATATTAGTGATGTTGTACTTGTTGGAGGAATGACGAGGATGCCTTTAATTCAAAATACTGTTCATGAAATATTTGGAAAAAAACCATGTAAAAATATCAATCCTGATGAAGCTGTTGCCATTGGAGCAGCAATTCAAGCAAGTATTATTGAAGGAAAGAAAAATGATATTATTCTTGTTGATGTTACACCATTAACTTTAGGAATTGAAACTTATGGTGGAGTGATGACACCATTAATCCATAGGAATACAACAATCCCTACATCAGTTTCAAAAGATTTCACTACATCAATGGATAATCAACAAGAAGTAGATATTAAAGTATTTCAAGGAGAACGTAGAGTTACATCAAAGAATAAAAAGTTAGGAGAATTTAAATTGGTTGGAATTCCTCCAGCAAAGAAAGGTATACCAAAAATCCAAGTTACATTTGATATTGATGTTAATGGAATAGTAAAAGTTTCTGCTCTTGATAAAGGAACAGGAAAGAAAACAGGAAATCAAGTTAAATCGAATGGTGGTTTGAATGAAGATGAAATTAATCGACTAGTTAAGGAAGGAGAAGAACATGCTACTGAAGATAAGAGAAAAGAAAATTTAATTCTTCTAACACAACGATTAAAAGAAATGATAGATAATGCACATAATCTTCAAAAAGAGTTATTAAAGAAAAAAATTGAAACAACTCAATTAGAAAAACTTATTATTCAATCTAAAAAAACTCTTACATCAGAAGATGAAAATGAAATTAAAAAAGTTATTGATCAATTAGGAGAAGAATCATCAAGTTATTCAGCTAAATTATATAATTAATTAACTTCTATCATTTTATTCTGATTTATTTTAATTATTATTAATCAATTCTTATTTTCATATCATTTAACTTCTTAATATGATTAATATTTATCTTTTTTACATAAAATACATAAATTGTGTATTCATTATATTTCATTCTTGAATGATATTATTTCCATTATTTTATTCCTTATTTTTATTTCATTTTCTCTTCTTTCATCTATTTCAATTCATTTATTTAATAATTTCATATATGTTAAATTCTTCTATTCTACTTGTTTTGTTTATTTCATTGTTGATATACATAACTATTATCTTATCTTCTACTCTTTAATTCTGTTTGTTCTGGTATGTCTTTCTCTTTAACTATTTGTTCATATGTTCTAGTTGTTGTCCTTATTGTATTTATACAATTTTATAGTTTATTTTCATTCAGAATCAGTACTCAAAGATGTTGAGTTTATTTCTATTTATTCATTCAACTATTTGTATTATTGAGTATTACTATTGAACAAATAGATTGTTTAGTTATTGTTTGATTCTAACCTTTAACCATTCAAATTCTGTTTTCATTTATTGTTTCAATATAACATTCAATATTTATTATAAAAATAAACAATAAGAATCACAGATACTGATGTATTGTGATAAATATAATGATAGCATGAATGCTTTCTGTAAATTGTTATAGCGTAGTGCATAGTTGTATTGTCATTGGTAAAAGATGTTGTGGTGAGTGTGATGATATGTTTTTATTTTCATAGTCATTACTAATGCTGTATAAGATTTTGTATAATTTTTAAGAATGATTAGAAAATAAAGAGGTAATAGAAGAAGTACAAAGTATTTGTTTTGTTAATTAGTAATACTATCGTTATCTAGAGAGTCTAGAAAGTACAGAATGACCATACTTAAACATTAATCCATAATATTTTTTATTAAAATTTGAAGAATATATATTGATTTTGTGAAGTCTTACAAAGATTAGTTTAACAAAGTGTTTTGATCAAAAGAATCATATAACTTATTCATTTCATTCTCACTAAAAACTATGATTATTCTAATATAAAACTGTAACAAATGACACACCAATAAATTTTCATTCTCTCTATCTTATCTTTCTTTTCTCGTTAAATTCAGCTATTCTATTTTTAATGTTTGTTGATGACCTTGTAACCAAATAGTTAGAATGACATGACAGTGTTGAATTTTGTCTTAATGTTATTGATCTGAAATATTAATGATAACATCAAATAAAAGAATACAAAACCTGTATATACTTATGAATTAGTCAATAAAATTACATTATATCTAAACTTATTTAATACTTGTTTTATTAACAAGATTGAAATAGTTTTTCCTATATAAATATTTAATGAATTATACAAATTTATAATATGTTTGTATGATATTAACCTTTATTTATTAATAAAGAAAAGTGCTTACTCTTTATATAAAAATACTCATTTGTTATTTATTTATTCATATTTTTTATTTATTACACTCTTTGAGTTTTTAAACAATACTCACTAATTATTAAAATATTTACTTCTTTGTTTGTTTATTTTATATAACTTTTTGCTTACTTCTAATAATCTTTTATTGTTCTTTTATATTTCTCTAAAATCATTAAGTTAAGGTCAAAATAATTGATGATAATTAAACTTTTAATAAAATATTTGGTTATTTGTGATAATTATGTCTTAAAATACTTAATTATCTTCAAATAATTCTTAAATAAACGATATAGAATGTACTATGTAGTATTATTCAATTTTTGTTTGAAATCATCTACAACTGTTAATGTTAAATTTGTTAGATGAAATAATGGTATTTGATTCAATTATCAATTACACTAAAACACATTCTGTATTTTCTTTATTGGACTCTTTTAATGTTTTAATAATTTTTATGTTTTGACATCCTTTAAAACATTCGTCTCCAATCTTACTAACTGTTGATGGTATAATAATTGATTTTAATCTTGTACATCCACAAAAACAATAATCTCCCAATTCACTTACAGTTGTAGGGATGTTTAATGACGTTAATGAAGTACATCCACTAAAACACTCATCTGTTAATTTAGTGATTGTTGTTGGTAAAATAAATTCGTTGATATTTCTTTGTTTTATTTCTTTTTTGTTAATCTCTTTTATATTTTCTGGGATTCTAATACTCAATAAAATTGGTTCATTTAAAAATATTCTGTTTTCACTAACAAATTGGACATTTTTTATATTGATATTCTTTAATAATTTACATCCATAAAAACATGTTCCTCCTATTTTACTAATTGTTGTTGGTATATTAATACTTGTTAGTGATAAACATTCATTAAAACATCCTCCACCTATTTCTTTCATTCTTCTTGATATATTAATTAAACTTAATGATGCACATCTATCAAAACATCCATTTCCTAATTTACTAATTGTTGATGGAATAGTAATTGATTTTAATGTCGAACATCCTCTAAAAACAATTATCTCCTAATGTGTGTATTGATGGTGCCATATCAATTAATGTTAATTTTGAACATCCATCAAAACAACAATTTCCTATTTTACTAATTGTTGGTGGAATGGTAATTGAATTTAATGTTGAGCAATGACTAAAACAACCCATTCCTATTTTATTAATTGTTGTTGGAATAATAATTGATGTCAATGAATAACATTCTTTAAAACAATATTTTCCTAATTTACTAATTGTTGTTGGAATAATAAATTCATTAACATTTCTTCGTATTACTTTTTTCTTATTTATTTGTTGTATATTCATTGGTGTTTTAATACTTAATAACACTGGTTCATTCATAAATATTCTTTCTTTACTTATAAATTTTAAATTATCAATTGTGATTAATGTTAATAAATTATCACTAAAATTGTTATTTCTTATTTTACTAATTGTTGATGGTATATTAATTGATTTTAATCCATAAAAACAATATTCTCCAAGTGATTTAACTTCTGGTGGTATTGTAATTCCATGTTTCTTTATATCTGGTTGTGTATATTCTATATTTTTACATATATTTCCTTGTTCTTTTTCTTTTAAATATGTTGAGTAATTTACTAAATACCATATTACTTTTTTAAATATTTTTCCGTCATTAAATATCTCATCGTCTTTATTATAAATATGAAATGTTTCAATATTAGTAAATAATTTTCTTGAATATTGATTTAATGGAATTGGATTAAAATGAAATCGTTCCATGTTTCCTTGAAATCTTTTAATTCCAATTTCTAAATTAATAAAATCATTAATGTCATTAAAATATTTTGATGTTATCATTATTTCATAATGTCCAAGTTTCATTCTTGATTTATTTTTATTATTAGTTCTCTATTTACTTGTTTATTTCTTTTAATAACTGTTATATTTTCAAATTATAATAAATAAATTTATTTTTTAAAATTAATTTATCTTTTTTTTGATTATTTTTTAATACTTAATTTTTTTTATTTTAATAAAAATAAACCTTTGATTATTTCAATTGTAATATCAATTCATTATTACTGTGTGGTATTAGTTGTCTAATTTATTTCTCTGAAAATATGCATCGAATTTATTGATACTAACTTACTGGTTGTTGTTTATTATCATTTCATTATTTGGAATTAATTTTATTTGATACTCAGTTATAACTAGTTAGATGATATAATACTAAATAAAATTAAATTCGGTTTTATTTGACAAACAGTAAGAGCATAAAATAATAAGTTTATTTTAACATACAATAAAGAAGAATAAGAAAATAAAAAAGTATGTTCAAGAAAATTATAATTATTAAGAAAATATATTCATTATTAGAGTAATGAACAAAGAATAAATACATAGAGTACTATTTAATATCAGTATAGTAATAAAACTAATATAAAAAATGAAATACAAACAATCATATAATAAAACTAAAAAAGAATGATATCAAGAAATGAAGAAATATAAAGTAAGTTATTATAATAGTAAATATGATAATCAAGTTATTCATACTGAATCAAATGGTGTTATATTATTCATTAAACTGTACTTGAGTTCAACAAAATCAAAATAGTATAAATAATTAATAAGTAATATAAAACACTAAAAGGAAGAGAAAAGTTAGAAAGCAAATTGAAAAGATACAATAAAAGAATAAAAGTAACATAAATTATTGTAATATTTTCTAAATAAAAAGTTTTTAACATTATTCAAAAATAATCAAAGAAAGGAAATAATTGATAAATTAGAATATAATTTATTTGTCTAATCTTGTATTTATTTAGTTATACTATTAACAATTTGTAAATATTTTATTCATTTCATATATTATAGTTTTTAATGTTAATTATTCAATTGTTTATTATTGGATTTGATACACTCATTATTCAATAAATACAATTAAATATTTGGATTTATGTTATATACTAATTTAACCAGTTCTATCGATATCATTATATCTATCTAACTCATTCACTGTTTCAATGCATTCTTTATAAATTCTATACCTATCATTCAGTTATTTTAATAACAATAACAAATATTTCATTAAATTGGGTATTTTGATTATACCAATTGTATAATTTCATGGGTATTAAATTACTGATTTAAAAAAAGTATTAATTATTAACATTTATGACAATAATTATCGTTATCAATATTATATTCATAGTTTATACATGTTATTGTAAAATTCATTGTGAAGTCAATGTACAGAGTGTAATTTAAATATAGCTTGTATAATTTAAATAAAGGATATGAAATACTAAAATGAAACCATTTTCAATTATTGTTTTTAAATTCTTTCTAACATTCTTACAACTTCTTCATTCACTGAGAATCTGTTATTATACACTTAAGAAATAAAATTGATTATGCATAAAGATAAGAAATATATATGAAAAAAACAAAACAAAGAAAGTAAATTAATGAATGAAACTGACATGATTTACAAGCAAAAATAATTAGAAAACACAAAACAAAGTGTTAAAATGACAATAAATAATAAATTAAGCTTAACGTGTTTAATGATATTTCTTTCTTAACAACCAGAACACAATATTTTATTCTTACTTGTAATAATATTTGATTAATTTAATCCTTTCCTCATTTAGCTGATAGTCCAATAAAAAGTAACCGTTAAAGATTAAATATTGTTATAATTAAATACTTACTATGCTCATTTTCCTGTTGCTCCATCCCATTTCTTTTGATTGATAAAAGAAATTTTGAATAATTAATTTAATAATTTAATTAAATTATAAGATTAATTATTAATATGAATACAAATATTTTATCATAACCATTCAGTTAATACTCTTCTTATTATATTTGGTTAAGTTTATTTAGTTTTATTGATTTTATTTGAAATTCTTATTGTTTATTAACCAACTTAATTAATTCATTATTTTAATTTTATTATCATATTTTTTTTCTATCTTCTCTTTTTGTTGTTTACTTATTCAACTTCTTCTTGTTCGTTTCTTCTTATTTTCTCTATGCTTCTTCATCCTGTATTTCATTTATTTCTTCTTATTTCTTTTTTGTTTATTACCTTTCTTATTTTTTATTATTTATTCTCTTTTTATCTTCTTATTTTATCTCTTCTTTATTTGTGCTCTTCTTTCTTTATGTCATATTTTCTATTTGTTTCTATTGTGTTTTATTCTCTTCATATTCTTTTTTATATTTCTCTCTCTATTTTTTATCATTTTATTCTTTATTTATTCTTCTTTTATCTTTTGTATTAGTATTTTTATTCTTCTTTCTTATCGTTTTATTTTCTGTTCTTATATTTATTATTCAATTTCTATCTTTATTATTTGTAACTTCTATCTGTGGAACTCATCATGGTGTTGGTGGTATTCTTGTCATTTTTTTTTTCAATGTAAATTATAATGTGATTTCTTTGTTTATTCTTTTACTTGAACTAATATCTTGTTTGATTATCTGAATGTGTAGAAATTATTTCTTGTTTTTTCTTCTATTTAACGTTGTCATAACTCATTTTTGTTTCTATGTATTATGTAAGTGGTGTAATATCATATGTTAATACATTTTTCTCTTGTTTTTCTTCTTATTATTGTTAATATAGTTGTTTGTACTCTTATTCATTATGCAACTGTTTCATCTGCATTATTATTTTATTTGTTCTTTTCAATTAATGTTTTAATGTATCATCTCATCTAATTTTGTATTTCTTGTACTTTATCTTATTATTACTTCATCTATATTAACTTTTATTTATTTTATCATCTAATATTATTCTTGAAACTTGTATAATAATTGATTTAATTAATTTAATATTAATTTATTCAAATATAGTTTGTGTAATATATATAAAATTCATTTCATTCATATAATTGATCAATTTTATTATTACTAATACTTCAACTTGTTAATGTCTTTGTTATTATTCTTCTAACTGATTGTTATATGATCTTTATTATATTTTCTTTGAAATTCCTATTAGAAATTTAATTCTTAAAACAGTAAATTACTGTTTCAAGGGATAGTAGAAAGAAAACCGTTTTGTGTTATATAAATAGTTAAACTAATAGATTCTTAGCTTATTTTCTTGGTCTTTTTGTGGTTATTATCTTATATGTAATCAAACAAAAAAGGAAATTTTGATTTTTAGACTATGAAATTATTCGTTTTATAAAACAATAATATTGACTAAAAATTGTTATGTATTAGTGAACTGATTATTCAGAGAAAATACTGCTTATATCTTCATCAAGACCTTCATCAAGACCTTCATCAAGACCTTCATCAGTGTCTTCGTCAGTGTCTTCACCAGTTGATTCCTCTAATTCTTCATCCTCAGATCCTTCACTATCAGAACTGTTTCTGTTGGAATCATCTTCACTTATTTTTTCTTTATTCAACCTTTCACAATTTGAACCAGTTGGGTTGAAACTATTTGAATCAATATTTTTATCTTCTGAATTTAATAACTTATTTGACATTTTGGAGTTGAAAAAAAGGTTTGGTTTTTCAGAGAGTTGTTCACTAAGTTGATCTTCTGTATGATCCTCCTTAATTTCTTCTTTTGTTTTAAAATGATAAACATCATATTTAAATGGTTCTTCACCAAAGTTGATAGTAAAATCTTTGTAACTTCTTAAACTAATAGCAGGATAAAAAGCATTTTCTTTTACAGGAATAAGAGGAAGACTAACTCCATTTAGTGTAAAGAAAACAATATGATTTGTAACATCAAACCCACAACCAACTGTATCTCCTTGTCCATAAGGTTTTGCAAACGCCTTTCCTTTTGGACTATCGTAAAACATTTTACCATCATCTGAATGATATCCAATAGAATTTTCTTCCCAACCAATGAATTTATCCTATTTAATGACTCTCTTTTTTTATAATCTAATTTAAAAAGATAAACAAACTTTTTTATAACGTAATGGACAAAGTCCAATAGCAAAAGTATATTCAAATGGGTTATCTATTTTATCAAATGTCACTTCAAAATAATAAATATTTGATTCAAGAATGATACGTTCATTGTTTGGATTTGTTACAATACCAACCATCTTTTGTGGTCCAAAAGGATATTGACCGATATGAGTACACATCTCCATATGTTTACTACTTGTAGGAGAGTATTTTCTCCCAGATACAGTAAAAAATCTATTATCAGTTATATTAGAAACTAACGCTTGTGGGTGTGCTTGTTTAATAAGTCTACGAATAAGGTAATGCCATCCTCTATTTTCTAACTTTTCTTCAATCTTAATCTTCTCACCAAAAATATATTTTAATCTTGATAATGACATTTGTTGAGGTATAAATTCTTCATAAGCCTCAACCATTTTTAGGTAATCCTCATTACTTAAATTGGAAAGGATCATATCTAAAGCACGTTCTGGTAATTGGAATAGATTTAACAATTTGTGTTGCATTTATAAAATTTAGTTTAGTGATTTCTTTTTTTAAGTTTTTATGATTCTTTTATTTTTTTTGAATTCTTTTTTTTTTTTTTTGAAGTTTACAAAATACTTTCTTTTTGATATGATTCGTTAATGTAAATGAAATGAAAGACTACATTAGTTAAGAGCTTACAAAATTGAAAAATGTATGAAAAGAAAACAAAGAGAAGAAGAAGAACAAAACAAGGACTGTACAAATGAAAAAAAAACAGATTTAAGACAACAAGTAAATTTGGTAGAACAGAGATTAAAAACTATGGAACAAACACTTGAAATGGTTGAACTTCAAATGAATAGAGAAGTCCAACTTTTATATTTAATTCGAAATGAATTAGAACTTCATTTATCCAAGAAATATTATGAAGAAGAAATTATTTGTTCAGACTCTTTTGTTCAGCCTGAGTATCCAACCCAACCTCAAACGAATGAAAAAAGAACAGTTTTTTCACCTGTTATGTTTCCAATGGCTCCATCATTTCCACCAGTTGTTTTTCCTTCTCATGAAGAAAAAGAAAAAACAGGTAAACAACTCAATAATGCTAATGAACATTGTATTGAAGAAATTTCGTTACCACCAATTACTTAGATTAATAGTAATAATGAAAATGAATTAAAAAAAAAATGAAAATTAATTAAAAAAAGATTAAATGGTTCATTTGGTTCATGCAAAAACAACAATCTACTCTGATTAAACAAAGTTTACCTATGATTTGTGGAATATTGCTTGATGCAACATTCTTTGTTCATAATAATAGAAAACTAAATGTTGAAGAAATAAGAGAATATGTAAATATAATAAATTCATTTATCCGAGTTTTAAAAGAAATTCATGATAATTCATCAGTTTTTACAATTGTTTATGCTGGTAAAAGTGTATTTGTAAAAGAAAGTGATAGAGGAGAATTAACTACACCAATAGTAGAAGCAATCAAAGAAGTATTAAATGATAAATTCCTTGTCAATGAACCAAATCTCTCATCAGCAATGTCATTAGCCCTTACAACAATTAATAAAGATGGTAAACTTCAACCAGACATTCAGAAAAAAGTAATTGTTATATCAACTCCATTCGAAAGTTCACCAAAATTTATTCCTCTTATGAACTGCGTTTTTGCTGCACAGAGAATTGTTTGTTATTGTTTTAATCTCATATAACTACTTATTTAATAGAAAACAACCATTGATACAATTGTATTAAGTATAATTGAAACAGGATGCACTTTTTGTCAACAAGCTTCATACTTAACAAATGGAATTTACAATACTGCTCCACTTCAATCTCTCTTTCCAAGACTATTAGTTTGTTTTATTTAAAAAAAAACCTATTTTCATTTCAATTAATTATTAGAGTAATAATACTTCTGATTGTGACACTGAAAAAATAATTAGAGTAACTGGAAATCAACAATCTGCAATTGACTGGAAGTTATGGTGTTTCCATTGTAAAAAACCATTAGATCATGGGTATGTATGTTCGTCCTGTTTTGGTATTTATTGTGAAAAACAAAAAGAACGTTGCCCAACTTGTGGAGCATATTTTGAATAATTTTTTTCTTTAATGGTTTTGTTCTTCTTTTCTATTTTCTATCTCACATGGTGTTATTTCAAAGTAATTGACTTTATATGTCTAAGTAATCATTAATTTATTAACATCTTAAAGATATTTTTTTATTACTTTTTTGTACTAGTTATTACTTAACTTACTTAAATAGTTATTTCTTTTTGTTCTTCCTATTTGTAATTTCTTTACCTACATTCTTTTATTTTTTTAATGTATATTTCCAAAAAATAAGAATTTTTAATTATTTCTGCTTCTGTGCTTTGTTACACCCAAAAAGATAAAAAGAAAACAATACATTTCCAAAAAAAAAAAAACAAAAAGACATTGAAAAGGTCTAATAATTTATTTTATAATAGGACAAAAAGAATAAAGTTGTAAAAGTAAATGCATAAAAAATTTATGAGAATTAAGAAAAAGAATTCATAAATCAATTAAAGAAAAATGTATCAATGAAAATAAAGATAATAACTTAATTACTTAATTTTTATTTGTTGTTATTGAGAAACAATGTATCTAATCAAAATTTCATCTCAAAAACTGAAAAGACAAAGTTGTCATAACAAGAAATGATTAGAGAAGAGTTGAGATAAATAAAAGAGAGAATAAAATGAAAATATGGATGAACAGAAAAGAAAACATCTAAAAATGGGTAAGAACTTAAAAACCAGAAATAACATGTTTTTTAAGAGATCATTCCAAGGAGTTAAAGAAATTGTTGGAGTTTCTAAGAAGACTGAAGATAACGAAGTAAATCAATTAAAAATTGATTTGCAAAATACCATTAAAAAATTAAAGAAAGCTAGTTCTTCATATTCAAAATTACCTGATGCAGGGAGGTCATCAACTGTTTGTCAGATGCAAGCAATGAAGGATGGAAAAGATTTATTAGGAGAAGGAAGTTGTTGTCAAGAATGCTATAGTATTTTTGAAGAGATAGATATGAAAGGTCATTTATATGGTATGAAAATCAAAGAAGAAGTAATTGAACCAATTCAAAGACTTGTTGAAGCATGTATTGTCATGGAAAAAAGGACTAAAATTTTAGGACAAAGAAGATTAGATATGGATGCAGCACATGATAAATATGAGTCAATTGCTAAAAAAGCACCAGAAAAACAAAATGGATTAGCTGAAGCAGAAACTAGATATAATGAAGCTAAAGACAATTATGATTATTTGAGAAATGAGATAGTTACTGATATAAATAAATGTATAGAACAAGTTAAAAAAGAATTCCCACAAATTTGTGTTAATTGTATGAAGAGTTACACAGATTATATTAATGAGTTAAATGAGATTTGGACTAAAGTGCCAGGTATTATTTCATCAATTCCTGAAGTAGATTTAAAACAAGAAATACCAATTACACCAAATGAACAATCAATGGTTGTTTTAGAAAATATTCGTGCTAAGAAAAATAGTGATTTAGGGGGATTTATTAATGATGATTTCACTACTCAAACTAAACCTGTAGAACCAACTACAACTACTCCAGTTATGACTACTACTCAACCAACAAATCAATTTTCAACAGTGACTGCACTTTATGATTATAATGCTGTAGATCCAGGAGAGTTATCTTTTAAAGAAGGAGATGTCATTACTGTATTAGAGAAATCAGGTGATTGGTGGAGTGGAGAACTTAATGGAGTAAAAGGAATTTTCCCATCTAACTACGTCAATTAAACAAAAGAAAAGATAATTAACAATAATAATTATGGTTAATTTTATTAAAAATTTTTTTAATGAAAAAGTAAAAAATATAAAAAGAACTTAATGAAATTAAAAAGAAGTAATGATTACTACATCGTGTCAATTTATTTATAAACAAAAAGATATTCTACCACACACAATTAATATCATACCATATCCTATTAACGAACAATCATCTCCACAACCAAAACAATGTAAATGTGGATATTATGATAATATCTATAATACACATAATGGGAATTCATTTATTTGTTGTAATTGTGGAAGAATTAATGAAAATATAGAAAATATACCAAAAACACAAGCAACTATTCATACTGAAATACAACATTCTTCTATTGAAAGGAAATTCATATTTTTAATATCTTTACAATTAGAAATTGTTTCATGTCAAGAAATGATTAAAAAGACAATTAAACAGATTAGCTCAAAAGGATATAAAGTAGCATGTATTTTCTTTAATGAAAATTCTATTCATTACATTAAAAATGGAACAAGAATGAATATTAATATAATTCCTAGATTAAAAGAAATAAATGAATTACCATTTAATATTGAATCTTTATGGCTTACACCAAATATGGTTGATTCTATTTTATCAAATTTTAATGATAATATTCCTTTTAATGATTTAATTCATTTACATCAATGTCTTGATGAATGGTGTAAAAGTATTCAATTAATTAATACAATTTGTACTCATGGAATAGAAGTTGTTTCATTCTTAAATACAAATGCTAAAGAACTTCCTTATCCAATTCAGTTATCTGTTCCTCTTCATGTAGTATTTCCTGATAAATATCAATCAGATATTTATCCAACTCTTCTTCATTATATTAGAAAAAATGGTGGATCACTTCACACATGGGATAGACATACATCACAAACATTTGATGATTCAATCAATTCATTAATAAATGATCTTGAAATTCCTAGAACGAATGGTGGGACGTTAACAATATTATGTCCACCTCAAATACAAATAATAAATTCAACATTTGAACGAAGTTTTAATGATAAAGTCCTTCCCAAAAAAAAAGTTACTTTTGCATTAGCACCAACAACTCCAAAAAGTCATTCAAATATTTCTATTTATTTTAAAGAGAAACAAAAATATAAAAAAACAATATTGTACATGCAATTTATTTATAACGATTCATTAGATTATAACTCTCTTTCATTTAAATGTATTTGTATAGAAACAATAAAATTTACAATGGTTAATACAATTATAGAATATTATAATGGTTTATCTATTGGAGCATCAATTCAATCATTATTTTATAATCTTCCAGATCCTTTAGAATTAAAAAAGAATTTAAAACGTTATTTAACAGTATTATCAAATCCACATTATCAATTTTTAACTTTTTTAAAAATTTGTAATTATTTATTAACATCTCCATTATATTCTCAAGCTAATCCACAATTGTCAGCATTATATCAACATCTTTTATTTGATTTTGATCCATATTATTTATATTCAGTTTATAATCCAATTATTTATATCTTTACTAATAATTATCAACAACCTCAAGCAAGACATACTTTATTAAAAAAAGAAATAATTAAACAAATTGAAGCATCTGCAATTGTTTTTCTTAATTTTGGTAGAGTTGTTATTCTTACTGATGATCAAAATATTCATTGTGAAGGAAATCAAGTTGGAATATTAGTGAATTCATTAAGATATAATATACAATTTCCTATTATTTTGAATGAATTAATTATTCCTTTTAATGGAAGTGAATTATTAGAATATTGTATGTTAGATGATAATGAATTAAATTCATTTAAAAATTTCATAAGTGAACTTAATCGATTTGTATTGAAATAAATTCATTTCTTCTTTCATTTTGTTTAATTAAATATTGTATATCTTTTATAAATAATAATTTGAAATAATTAAAAATTGATTGAGTTAAACTTAAAAATGTATTGAATTTTTTTAATTTTTCTTAGAAACTACCCATTCTGAATACAACAGATGTTTTAGCTCCTTCGTTATAGACATCATATCCAAACCCTTCATTTAAGAATGTATATTCAAATCCTTCTATTTTAATGTGTAATAATTCTTGTAAATTCAATACATCTGTTGGATCTTCTTTTAATAATTCAATGCAATTCTTTATATTTTGTTCTTGTATTTTCTCAATAATAACTGAGAATTTTACAAACCCATCTTCACTTGTTACTACTTTTACCATTACACGTGATCCTAAACATGAGTCTAATACTTCTTTTGGTATTTCTGGGAACATAAATGCTGTAGCTGCATTTTGAATCATTTCTATTTCATTAAATGGAATATCCATCCAAAATTCTGTATTATATGGTGGTTGATCACCCATATCTCTACCAAATCGATGTACATAATCAACATGATTAGTTTCACACCATAATTTAATAATACCAACACTATCTATTTCTGATGGATCAGAAATATCTTGAATTACATTTAAACTATCTTGTTCTGCAATAATATTCCATCCTGCATCACACCCTCCTTTATCACTTAAAGATATCCAACTTTCAATTGCTAAAACTCCATTTCTTCCTGCTTCTATTTTCATTTTTTCTATTTGTTCTTCAGGTGATCCAACTTGATTAAAGAATTCTATAATAGTTCTTAATTCTGATAATGGTGATGTACATCTTAAAAATATTTCTGTTCCAGTTGGATTAACTGATGCTGAAAGATGAGTAGGAGATCTTCTAGGAATATTATCATAGAATAATTGAACAAATTCTTGTGCATTTTCTCCAATCCATTCAAATGCTTGAACAAATGAAATAACATTTTGTAATGTTGTATCTTCTCCATCATCATAATCAGATGTTGAACTTGAACCATTTTCTTTTTTATCATCTTCATCTGTAATAACATTCATTTGTTTTATCTTTTCTTGTTCTTCTAATTCTTTTTTCTTTCTTTCTTCTTCTTCTAATTGTTGTTGAAGTTCTTGTTGTTTAAGTAATTCTTCTTGTTGTCTCATCATTTCTTGTTGGTCTCGAATTTTTTGTTCTTCTTCTTTTTGTTGTTCTTCCATTTGTCTTTGAATTTCTTCTTCAATACGTTTCTTTTCTTCTTCTTGTTGAATTTTCATATATTCTTCTTGTTGTTGTCTAAACTTTTCCATTCTTTTCTCTTCTTCTACACGACGAATATCTTCAAGCTCTTGTTGCATTTGCATTTTATTTTCTTCATTTCCATTTTGTGAAGTAGTGTTTTCATCACTTGGTTGTGTTTGTGCAATACTTCCATGAGAAATAGTTGGTCTAGTAACAACCCAACCAGCTTTTTTCTGTGGTTTTGGTGCTTGATTTTGAGGTTTATCCAAAAGAGGAGATTGAGTAGATGTTTCTTGTGAAGAAGAAATTATTTGATTACTTTGTTGAAGAGTTGATTGTTGAGGAGAAGTATTAGATTGAATAGAATTATTTAAGTTTTGCGTAGTATTTAAAGAACTTGGTTGAGAACCTCCAACATTAATTGGAGCCAATTGAATTTCTTCAACATTTTGAACAACTACAGAAGTAGTTTTAGGAAGATTAAGTTGTTGTTGGGCATGAATAGTGTCGAAAATTCTTTTTAAAAATTCTCTTAAATATACTTCGTTGTCAACACAAAAAATAAATTTTCTTGTTCCTTTTTGATTTCTAGAATCTATACTAAAGAAAAACTTTTTTCCAGGTACATTCATTCCAGTCTCTTCTTGAATTGTTGTTTGTGGTGTTAATTCAATATATCCTTGTGCACTTGTTGAATTTTTAGCTTTAAAATACCAAAGTCTTGTTGGTTTTAATACAAACCATCTCTTTTTCCAATTTTTTACTGAACCCCCTTGTTTTTTTGCCCATGCCTCAAAAATTGATGGTTGGAGTTGCATAACTGAAACATTTAATTCTTCATTTTCTGCCATTCTTCTCTTAAATTTGCCTCTGTTTTATTTTTTAGTTCAATTCTCTTTAGTATTTTTATATTTCTATCTTCTTTTCAAATTAACTTTTTATTATTGTTTTACCATTCTTTTTATTTCTTCTTTTTTTATTTTTCTCTTTTTCTTCTTTCTTTTCTACTCAAATCCAAATATCTTCCTTTTTGATAAATTTCCATTGACTGCCCTTTCATCTTTTCACCTATTTTTTTGTACAGAAAACTTCAGTGTTGAAGGTGTCTTAGCCATAATACTTAAGTTCTTTTAAATAATGCTTTTTTAAATTTCAGAAAACTTATGTTTCCATAAAAAATAGAAGTTTATTGATTCAAATCAGATGAATAAAAAATAAAAAATAATCAAGTAAGTGTTAAATATCTAAAAACTGTAAATTATTAAATAATTTAAACAAATTCCAAAATATGACTGAAAGAAAATTTGAATTCAATAATAATAAAATAGCATTTCATTTATTATTTACATTAAAACAAGGATTAACCAGATTTATTGATGAATTAATAGTAGAAATGAAAGCTGAAAGTAAGTTATTAGAGAGTGTTGGATATTATTCAAATTCGATTAAAATATTTTCTGACCCTGATGGAATAAAGTCAGTTGGTTCAATACTTTCAATTGAACCTATTGAAACAAATTATAAAGTCAAATTTACTATGGGAACAATCATTAAAGAAATAATTCTTATAGAAGGAAATACTTTGAGCAGTAAAACTAAAGCAACACTTATAGAAGAATATAACAAAAAATTAGAAAATGTTATGAATCAAATTTGTGAATTAAGACAAATGATATTGAAGTCAAGTGAAAAAAAACCTCTACAAAACGAAATAAAGAAAATAGGAAATGACGATTTAATAATTAACGAATTAATACCTCGAATTATCTATTGTGAAGAAAACATTAAAATCAATGAACAGACAACTTCTTTTATAAAAGAAAAATTTATGTTAATTGAAAAAAGAATAAATGAAATTGAAAATAAAATTAATTTGATAAACAGTACTACAAATAATTCAAATGAAAATGAAAAACTTTTAAATGATATGTTTAAAAAGAGATTAACGGAATGTTTATTAAAAACTAATGATTGTACTAATGAATTGGTTGATGTAAAAAAGAAAATTTCTATTTCTATTATGGATAATGACAAAAAATATACAAAAATTTTAGAAGATATTACTTTATTAAAAAACAAATCAACTCAAACAGAAATTTCGTTATTAAATATTAATCAAAAATTAAATTCTCTCTTATCATCACAAATTCAAATAACAAAATCCAAAACAGAACCAACTCTAATTAATTATAAAGATTGTGTCTCATCATCTCAAGTAGAAAAAGTTGATAATCAAATTCCTAAATTAGAACTTCATCAATCAAATAATAATTATTTACAATCTCAACAAAAAACTCCTCGTTTAGAATCAGAAACTAAGAAAAAAAAAGGTGAATATAAAACAGAACCACAACCATCTGTTTTATCTTCTCCAAAAGATCAACAACACAAAACAAAATCAAAAAACAGTCTCTTGAGTAAACCAACAGTTCCAGCAGTAGTAACTCCTCCATTAGAAGAAAAACAAAAATTGTCCAAAGGGAAAAAATCAATAGAAACTCATTCAGAACCTTATCTTAATACATCAAAAGAACCAGAGCCAAAAAGAAAACAATTACATAAAATAAAAAAGTCAATTTCAAAAACATTGAAAACATCTACACAAAGTACAGGAAATGATGATATTAAAAAAATAATAGAAACAAATCCTGGTGTATTAAATGAAATAACAAGTATTTATAAAGAAACACCAAAACGTAAAACAAAAAGAAGTGAAACAATAAAAACAAAACCAAAAATGTCAGTCATAGATCCAGATAATCTTAAAGAAAACTTTGAAAGAAAACAAATAATAAAAGAAAAAGAAATTATTCAAAGTAAAAGTAAAAATGATTTAATTTTTAAAGAACTTAAAGAAGGAGAAATTATGCATATTATTTGTAATGAAAGTAATCCAGAACAACAACAAATAATAAAATGGCTTATTAACACTGTAAAAACTAATAATTTTTGGGAAGTATTTGATGAACAAGAGCCAAAAGGAATTATTATTGTTTGTACAAATAAAAAAGAAGGATTAGAAATGAAAAATCGAGTAAGAAAATTATTTGGAGATATCCCAATTCAATTAATTGGGTTAGAAGGTGAAACAACAAGTGTAGAAGGTTTTATTAAAATAGACTTTCATAATGGAGAAGTAACAGATGAAAATGAATATATTCTTCAAGAATTTAAGAAATGGAATTAAACAGTAAATTGAAAAAACATTTGTTTTAAGAAATAGATGAAAAGGGATTGTATTATTCCTCAATGTTTTCACTAAATTCATCAATGACTCTTTGATAATCACCATCATTCTTTTTAGAAGCAGCAGATGAAGAAGAGCCATTACCTACTTTAAATGTAATAATGAAATATACAGCCATCCCAATAAATGAAACACACATGACTGAAGCAAGGGCTCCAAGAATTAATGTCATAATAATAAATCCATTATATGGAAAATATAACTTAGCATAACACGGTGCTTGTACTTCTCCTGGAATTGGATAATATGCACAATCATTTTGAGAATATGCTTTCCATCCACAACATCTATATGCAACTTCAGTAAATGCTTTTTGATCAGAATTTAAACCATTCCAAAAACGAGTTAAACTCCAATCAGGGAATGCAACTCCAATAAAACTTGTTACTGTAGTACCAAGAAAAAGAATAGTAACTACAACACATCCTCCAATATACTATTTTATTTTATTAATAATTATTTTTACAGTATTAAAAATAATAAAACAAACAATATATATAAATATTTTCTTTAATTGGAATCCACTATATATTCCAATTAATGATGTAATTAATGCCACTGATGAACCACAAATACTAAATGAAAGAATCCACTTTATTCCAAACGGAATAAAATGCATTGAATTCTTTAATAACACAAATAATACAACTGAGATTAACAATCCTACAGTCCCAAGTGTCTAAGTTTATAAATCTATTTCTAATTTCTTTTCTCTAAACACTAACAAACAAATAAGAAAATACTAGTTGTTGAAAATGCACGTTTGGTTGATGGCATTTTTTCTTAGGAATAATTATTTTACAGTTCTAATTCTTTTTTTCTTTTTTTATTTTCTTTTTTGTTTTTTCAAAAACATAATTTCTAATTTTATATAAAATAATAATAATAATAATAATAATATTATTATTATTATTATGATTATTTTTCTATTAAATATGTTTTTTTTTTATTTCAATTCATTTTCTTATACAATGGACATTTATCCATGATTTCTTATTCACTATTTATAGTAATATCTTTTTTATAACTTACAGACATATAAAATTATATTTGAATAAAATATGATATATTGTTAATATTATTTTGTCAATTAAGCAATACTAAAAAAGAAAACACTCTCTTTACTGGTTCAAATAGTTATTAGATTAAAACAGATAACACAATCACTAGAAAAATAATAATTTTAATTTTTATAACCATACGTTAACACAAGCAATTATTTAAGCATCTACAAAAACATTTAAAAACAATTTCATCATAGTACGCCATTATTGTTATTAAAGAACCAAAATAAAAACATTTTTAATATCAAATACATTTACTTTTTCATTAATAAATTTAACTAACAACATTAACTAACAAAGATAAAGAGAATAGTATGATAAACACTCTTTTTTTTCAATTTTTCATCAAAAAGCCACAAATAAAAAAGTAAATAAAAGTTATTGATTAACAAAGACGTTTTGGCTTTGTTAAGGGGATAATAAAAAGATAATTTAGATACGAAATATTGTGATTAGAATTATAAAAACAAAAGTAATTCTATTTATGTATAAAAACCAATAGAACTAAAAAAGATAATTTAATTTGACAATATAAGATGGATACTATCAAATTATTATTTATAATTATAATAGTACATATTATCATTCTTAGTGTTGGATGTACATTTGCTTTCAATATAATGGTAGGCATATTTGTGTTGACAATCCCAAATTCTGTTCTTTGTTTTCTTTATGTTCAGTATAAACCTCAACTGGATGAATTATCAAAACCAACACTTCCGTTTCAAAATAAGAAATCACTTGATTAAAATAATAGATATTGTTCTTTTCTAATATTACTGGTTTCTTTGAGTTTATTTTAATTTTTTTTTTAAAAGTTGATTTTCAATTATACTATACAGAACTAGTAAGACTCTCTAATGATTGAAAAGTATCCACTTGGCTTTGGAGTGATTCAAAAAATAGTTTAACCTTTTGACAATCATCTAATAATCTTTGTCTATCATTTTCATTTCCTAAATTAATGTCATTCATTTGTTGTTCTGTTTCTTTCATAAATGACTCTAACTGGTTTAATTCCTTTTCTAAGTCAATGACTTGAGACTCTTTTCTTTTTAAACGAATAATTTCACTAGCTTGTTGTGCAACCATAGCACGTGTATGTTCAAGTTCAGTTTGGGTATCAATTAATTTTATTTGATATCCAAAAGAATCAATTGGCTTAGATTGGTTTTCAGTCATTCAACTTTATAAATAATAAGTTCAGTTCTTTTAATCAATTATTTTTTATTTAAATTTTTGGTTCTTTAAAACCAAACCAAAAAGAGATTTTGAATCAACAAAATTCATAATATCATTTAGTATCAACAATTTCTATTTCTGTAGCATCACCTTTTAATGGAACAGACTTTCTTGAAAAATTAATTGCTGCTGTAATTGCTATATTATTAATCACTTTAAACAATAATTTTATTATTAATTTAACAAACGAGTTCTACATATTGGACATTGGTGTGTTCGTTCTTTAACTTCTTCATAACATCCTGCACACATAGTAATATGTCTACATGGTAATAATAAAATTTCTCGTGGGTCTGTTGTACAAATAACACAAAGATTATCAGTGCCAGTAACATCATTATTATCAACACCAAACACATCAAATGAATTATATGTAACATCACCAATATGAAATTGTTGATTAGAAATTTTTGGTACTTCACCAGTTAATATGATAGTTACAGAGATAGAATCAATCAAGATATATTCAGTAGGTGGGACATTAGCATTTATTGATTTTGTAATATCAATAGTTAATGATAAAATATTATTTATATTTGGAATTGATACTTGTTGTTGCATTTGAGCTGGTAATTCTTTTACCTCTAAAATTTTTTTTTGACCTTCAATCATTGTATATGCTTCGAGATGTGCTTCTATAGCACAATCAATTAAAAAATAAAGAGAACCATTGTCAACATGTAATGTCATTTTATCAATGCAATATAATACAACATGTTTAATTTGTGCATTAACTAATGGAACGTCAGGTTGAATTTCTTGCATTTCTGTAGGAGGGGTATTAGGTATTTGTTCTTCAAAAGGAATTGATTGAGTGATTCCCATGTTTCACAAGCAATTTGGACTGTTAAATATTATTTTAAGTTATTTAATATAAAATAGTAATTCTTTTTTTTAATTAATTAAAAATTTGCTGAATAACATAAAAAAAGAAGTGAAAAGAGAAAAAAAAAGTAGATCATATGACTTCACAAAAGATACCTCTTGATTTTATCAAAAGTATGTTAACTGCAAATGGATTTGAAGAAATGAGTGATGAGATGATTAATTTAATTTCAGAAGAAGCAGAAAATTCAATTAGTGAATTATTCAATGTTTGTTTAAATAATTTTATGGTAATACTTTTATTAAATTATATCACTAATAAATGAATAGGAAGCCACTAAATTTATGAGACATTCTAAACGTAAAATGTTAACAATTCAAGACATTAATTCTGCATTAAAATTAAAGAAACTCGAACCATACTATGGATATAATTCATCAATTCCATTATATTATCAAAGACTTCCTTCTAATCATGAAATGTTTGTAAGACAAGAACAAAGTATTGGATTAAATGAAATTATTCATTGTCAATTCTTCCCAGATATTCCACGTGATATTAATGTTGGATGTCATTGGTTAACTGTAGAAGGAGTTCAACCATTAATTCCTCAAAATCCATCAGTTGTTGTTCAAGAAAAACAAAAACAAGAAGAAACTATTGAAACAAAACCAATAATTCAACATTCATTAAGTAAAGAATTACAAATGTATTATGATATGGTAGTAGAAATTCTTAATACTAATAATAAGGAAAAAATTGATGAATGTTTAGATAGTGTAAGAACAGATTCTGGATTACAACAACTAACACCATATTTTATTAGATACATTTCAAATCATACATTGGCTAATCTTGGTTCATTAGAAATATTAGCAAATATGCTATCTTTAGTAAATGCTATGAGAGAAAATCAAAATATTAATCTTGAACCTTATTTACATCAATTATTCCCAATCATTTTAACTTTAGTTGTAACAAAACAAATTGGAACAAATTCTTATGATAATCATTGGAATATTCGTGTTCAAGCTGCTGCTATTGTAAAAAAATTACGTGATCGTTATTCAGAAAAATATGGTCGTCTTCATGCTCGTTTACTTCAAACTTATTTACAAGCTATTACTGATGCAACAAAACCTTTAACAACTCAATATGGTGGAATTGTTGGTATTACTGCAATGGGACCACGTGCTGTATATCATTTATTAGTTCCAGCAATGAAATCATTAAAAGAAAGATATCTTGGAAGTAGTAATGAATGTAAAATGTGCTTACAAGCACTTTTTGACGCTGCATTTATGCTTGCTGAAAAAATGAAAGAAATGATGATGGATTCAAAACAAAATGTTTGTGATGAACTTCGTGACAAAAAGAAAGAATTAGTTGCTGATGAATTTAATATTGATGAAACATTTAAAACACTTCATGAAATATTTGGGGATGTAATAGTACCAACAAGTTTAGTAGATCCAACTATAAAAAATATTACGTTGTAATAAGTTTTCTGAATTTAATTAATTTATTAATTAAAATAATATTTTTTAAGTAATTTTCTCTCTTTGTTATTTTTTTTTAAAAAAAACTTCATTTAAAAAAACAAAATAAAATAAAGAATAGTTATTTTATTCATTAAAGTTATGAATGTTGTTTTCAAAGTTATTTCTCCTTTTTTTTGTTTATTGAAACAAATATATTAAAACTATTAAAAAGAGATAAAAGAACTATAATTGTAGTTATTCAAAATCAAAGATGAAAGGAATAACAATAAAAGTAGTATTACTTTTTGCTATTTATACTCTTGCACAACAAACAGTTCGTCCATCAATAACTCATTCAATAAATTACTCAGAACATTTAAATGGATTACAAAAAATACAAAAAAATAATGACAAATTAGAAAATGTTAATGAAATTATATTAAATAATAGTAATGATAATGATGATGACCTATTTAATTTAGAATTACCTGATGAAATACTATGGGAAAATTTTTGTAAATATTTTAATAAAAGTTATTCAACCACAGCAGAAGTTAATTATAGAAAAAATATTTTTATGGTTTGTAGAGTATATTTTATATTCAAATAATCATTAAAATCATATTCATATTATCAAATAGGAACAAATTAAAACATACAGATATTTTAATTCATTATCTTATTCTAATACGACTGCTGTATTTGGTATTACTATACTAAGTGATAAAAGTCTTTCTGAAATTGGTTGTTCAAATCCAAAATCTTTAAAAAATACATCAACAATAGTCCCACCTCCAATTCTTCCTCAAATAATTGATCCTCCTTCATCATTCTCAAGATGTGGAAAATATGCATTAAATAATTCTGATTCAATGAAAACTGATGATTTTTGTACTGATATTTATTGGTCAGGTTGTGATGGTTGTTATGCATTCGCAGCAAAAGAAATTGCGTTTATTTCTTATAAAAACCAAACATTAAAAAATGCATCAATTAATACAAATTTATATTTTGATTGTTCACCAGAAGCTAAAGGATGTTGTGGAGGTGATACAGAAGAAATATTAAAAAGTTTTCCTTATGTATACTTTCAGAATGAAAGTTCTAATTCAGAACAATTACAATATCTTTCATGTAAACATGAAAAATGCCTTATTCAACATCCTAATGGATTAGTAAAAAATATTATTAAGTTTGGTTCAATTAATAAACCAGAACAATTTAAATCATTATTATTAGTATATGGTCCATTTGTTTCTTCTATAAAATTATTTAATGGAATTCAAGGATATAAATATGGAATTTTAGATATAGAGCAATGTAAAAATGAATCAATTATTGCTTCTCATACTATTGTTGTTGTTGGTTATGGAATTCAAAATAATTCTAATTATCTTATTGTAAAAAATTGGTGGAATGGTTGGGGAGAGGATGAAAAAGGTTATATGAAAATTTCAATGGATAATTCTTGTGGAATTGGAACTCAACCAGAAGGAAAACAACCAACAAATTATATTATTCAATTTTATTATTGTGAAGGAGATTCTTATTGTATTGATTGTGATAAAGAAACAGGTAAATGTCTTGAATGTAGTTATTTATCTAGATTAGACAAAAATGGAATGTGTACAAGAGAATGTCCTGGTGATTGTTTAACTTGTGATAAAGCTCTTGAAGAATGTTTTTCTTGTAAAAATAATGCAGTATTACAAGATGGTAAATGTGTAATAAAATGTCCAAAATATTGTAAAACTTGTGAACGAGAAACTCTTGAATGTACTTCATGTCAACCTCCATATAAATTAAATGGGACTGAATGTATATATAATTGTACTGATGATTGTGAGATTTGTGATTCATATAATGAAACTTGTATTAAATGTAAAGATAAATCTGAACTTATTAATGGATATTGTAATGTATTATGTCCTGTTGGATGTAAAACATGTGATAGAGAATCACAACGATGTTATTCATGTAAAAGATTCTATCGACTAAATAAATTTTCTTGTGTAAGAACTTGTAAAGATAAATGTATTGATTGTGATAGTTCAAATACTTTTTGTGAATTATGTGAAGTTGGTTATACTCTATTAAATGGAGATTGTTATTCATCAGCGTGTAAAAAAAATTGTCGTTTTTGTAATATCACAACTCTAAATTGTGTTGAATGTTTTCTTCCTTATTTTGGTTATAATGGAGATTGTCAAATCAATTCATTTTTATCACTAGTATTTCTTTATACATTTATAACATTATCATTATTATTAAATGCATTATTATAATTTATATACATCTTAATTCTTCTTATTCTTCTTTCTCTTTATTGTATGTATTATTTAATCAAAATGACAATTAATAAAGAAATAAACAATAAATTAATGTCTACTGGTATTAAAAAATTACAAGTATAGTTTTCTTCCTTCTTTTTCAATCAAAATTCTTCACATCACTATTATCCCAAAAACATTGTGGTTTAGTATTCTTTGATTGAATGTGTTTAATACATTCACAATATTTTCTTCTATGACTTTCAATCATTCTTCCAAAATCTATACATACTTTAAATGAACTTTTACTTTGATTCATTACACAATATTGCATTTTTGGAACAAAGTCTAATGCAACTTCTCTGACTTCTTCTTTCTTCATCATTAAACATCGTTGATATCTCATATCCCATAAATTAACAAAATGACAAAAATCTCGTGCAAAGAAAAATGCTGATGCTGCAAGTGAAGATGGTGAATTACTTGTATAAAATGGATCTAATGTCATTATTTGAAGAAATTGAATACTTGCTTCAATAATTGGATGATTTCTTTCTTCTTGATTATATTGTGGATATCCTGCTGCTTCCCAAAGAATATTTAAAAAGTCGTATGATGTAGGATTATCTATTTTATAATTAATAGACTCTAATAACTTCTTTTCCATTCCAATAATATCATCTTTTCCATATTTATTATTACATAATCTTTGTATATCATTAACTTTAATTCCAGTTGACTCAAATTTTGAACAACTAAATAAAGATGTTACAAATATTAATCCAAGTTCATCAGAATTAACAACTACTCGAGTTGTATATAAATCAACTAATGTTAATGTTTGAAATATTACTTTCTTTGAAAGGTGAAGATATTCTGATGTTTTAAATAACCAATCAACTAATTGTGGTCTCATAAATGGTGTAGCAATTGTTAAATCTGGTAATGGCATTTGATTTTGTCTTTCTCTAAGATATTTACAAAAATTTTGAAATTCTGGTGAAATTCTCCTTTTTTTTTGTTTAGCAACAATAGTAACTTGCCCGTCATTAAAAGTAACAGGAATAAAGGCACTCTTAATTCTTTTCTTTTCATTTTCAAGACAAAGCGTTTCTTCAATACACATACTTTGACAATTTAATATAATCTAAATTAATAAGATAAGTTGATTATCTTTTTATATTTCTTCCTTTTCTTCCACGAAGTGATACGTGGTTAAAAATATACATTTTTCTTCTTTATTTTTTTTTTTAAATTCTATTTCCTTCACATGAAAAAATTAAACAATTCTTGTCAACGTCATTTGATAACTTGTTGAATCTTATAAAATCTTATTGTATTCATTTTTTTTTTACTAAAACCATACTCTTGAGTTAAAGAAAATGACTTTTGCAATGAATTTAAATTAAGTTTGGCTTTTATTTTCTTTTTTAATATTTATGACTTTCCTTAGTTTCTTTAAAGAATAGAAAAAATATATGTTTTTTAAGTATTAAACTATACTTTAAGAAACCAATAAAAAATCAATTTCAAACTTTCTGCATTTATTAAACTCAAATAAAAAACACATAAGATATTTCTCTGTTTTAATAAATTTTTATGAAAAAAAGAGAAAAATAACTCCACAAAAAAAAAGAAAAAGTCCAAGTAAAAATGTCAAAATGTTGAGTTGATGATTGAAAAATAAAAAATCTTAAAACAGGAAAAATAAATATTTTAATTTACGCTATGATCCACAATAAAAATAGATTATTTTGCATCTGAAATAGTATCCTTTGTCTCATTATCTTTTCTAATTAAGTGTTGTGAAAGAACACGTTTCTTTTCTCCTTCAACAAATTCTTTCATTTTATCTATTGTTTCATTCTCCTTTCCTCTTTTCCATTCATTTTCATCATACTGAGTTAAAAGTGGTATTGGATTTCCATTTGGTAATAATACTCCTTCACTAAATAATTCTTTATGAAATTCACTAGTAACTAGTCTTGAAGCACTCAACCGTTTTTCAGGTGAATATTGTAATGTATGAGTTAAAATTTGAATAGCTTGAGAAGGAGGTTTAAATGATCTCAACGTATTTTCAATTCCAATTCCATCAACTTTAGGTAATATTGGTGGTGGAATTTCATTATTCATTGCTTTCATCTCTTCTTCTGTAGGTGTTCCAATTATTTTTATTATTTTTATGACTTGATCTGAAGTACTACTCCCTGGAAAAAGTGGTTTTCCTAAGAACATCTCTGCAAGAATACACCCATATGACCAAATATCAATAGAGCTATTATATTTATTTGTTCTAAATACTAATTCTGGTGCTCTATAATGCCGTGAACAAATATATGAAACATTTGGTTCTGATGAATCTAAAATATTTTTTGCACTTCCAAAATCACAAATCTTTAAATCTCCTGTATTTTTATTAACTAAAATATTTTCTGGTTTAATGTCTTGATGAATTATATTTAATGAATGAATATATGCTAATCCACGAATAAGTTCATATGAAAATAATCTAATGTATATAATTGGTACTTTTTTTTTTAAACTTCTCATAAATTGATAAAGGTTTTGTGGTAAATAATCCATAACTATATTTAAACAAAAACTTGAACTCTAAGAATGATGTTAGTAGTTTATTTTTTATTCTTTAAAAAAACCTGTTTTAATTATTTATGTCTGTTCTTAACAAAATTAAAATCAACAAACATTTGATAACTTACTCAAAAATGAATCTTTTAATTTTATTACATTTTGATGATGAAGCATTTCTTGTATTCTTAATTCTTTATTCTATATTCATTATTATTTCTTCATTTGTTTACTTTTTGTTTTCTTTAAACAAATTTCTTTAAGTTTCTTTTTAATTGAACATTATATTTAATAATTATAACAAACTTTAGATCGTTTACCTTGTGAAACTCTTTTAATAGCATTAATCTCACCCGTTTTTATATTATTAGCTAAAAAAACAATACCAAATGCTCCGTATCCAATAACTTTTGATATTCGATATTTATTAGTTTCATTATCTAATATTATTCCTTCTTGAATTCCATAACTTTGAAAAACTTCTGTTTGTACCACTCTTTTTAATAAACGTTTAGACATTGACTGGACGTGATAAGATCTTTTTTGTCATAATTTTTTGTTTTCTTTATAACAAAATTCTTAGAACTTTTTATAGCATTTTAATATTTTTTTTGTTTTTAATTACAATTTTCCTTTTTTTTTTAATATAGTTTATAATGTTGTTATTTATTTTAATTGATAAAAAATAATTAATAAAATAATAATATTAATTATTATGTTATTTTATATTAATAATTTCAAAGATAAAAAACCTTACAAAACCCTATTTTTTCCAAAAAGAATGAAAAAGAGAGAGAAAAAAATGGTTCAGGAAAAAATAAAGAAAAGAATTTTAAAGAGGAACCCTTTGAATTAAAACTTTGAAAGATAAAAGAAGTCAAAGAGAAAGAAGAGAAGATGGCAGCATGGTTAAATGGAACAAAAAAGAAAGAGTGTTTGACATTAGATAAAGAAATGAAATTATTTGAAGAATTTATTCAATTAACACCAGAAGAAATCAAATGTAGAAATTATTGTGTAGATAAACTTAAACAACTCTTTGAAAATAATATTGAACATTGTGAAGTTCAAGTATATGGAAGTTTTGTTTATGGATTATCATTACCATCAAGTGATGTTGATATTGCATTATTATTTCCTCAATTACCTTCTTTATCAATAGGAAGAAAAATTAGAGTATTAAAAAGAGTTGCTCAACTTTGTAGGACAGTAAAAAGTATTAGAGTAGATGATGTAATTACTAATGCTAAAATACCTATTGTTAAATTAACTGATTTGGAATGTGCTTTATCGATTGATATTTCTGTTGATTGTGATAATGGAATTGTAACTACTACTTATATTAAAACGTTATTAACTGAATTCCCATTAGCAAGAACACTTTCATTATTTATTAAATTTTTATTATTTCAAAATTCATTAAATGAACCATATCATGGTGGTTTAGGTTCTTATGCAATTATTCTTTTAGTTTGTACATATCTCAAAAATAATCCAACAGAAGATTGTGGTGTTGCTATTACAGGATTTCTTAATTTTTATGGATCATTATTTAAAATGAGAATGACTGCTGTTTCATTAATTAGTGGATATTGTAAATATCGATCTGAAGATGATTCTGAATCATGTCCAATGATTATTGATCCTTGTGATGAATTAAATAATGTTGGTAGGACTTCTTTTAAATTTACTACTGTTCAATACATCTTTAAGAAAACATTAATTGGAATAAATTATCAATACAAAACTCCAAAAGAAAAATATTTACCTAAAAGAAGTAGATTATCTAATGTTATTGCTATTGCAGCATCTACTTTAGTTTTTAGAAATGCTATTTATCAACGATTTAGTGAACAAGGTACTCCTACTCTTATTCACGAAAATAGAACAATCAATGATAAATCGTTATAATAACCATAAACTCTTTTAATGATTGACTTAATTGTAGTGTTTATTTGAAAATAATATTTAATTGCTATTTATTTACTAAAATAATAAAATTTAAGTTATAATAAATGTAATATTCTTTTCTCTTTTTTTAGTATTGAGAACTTTATATTTATTTTAAATGACTCATTTGGAGGCTATTTATTTAATGCACGTCGCATTACATTTTGAAACTTATTCAGATGTATTTAAATTTCTTCAAGTTAGTAAGACTTGTAAAGAAGCACTTGAACGATTAAAAATTAATCCATGGTTTGCTAGTAGTGAAAGTATTATTAAATTTTGTACAAATTTTAATCCTGAAACAATGAATTGTTTATCTTATTGTTTCTTTTCTAAAAAATTATTTAACAAAGTCTCAAATATACGAAATCCAATGTTTAATAGTATTTTAACATCTAATATGAATGACATTATATCAATATTATCAAAGGTTTATCATATATCATTGTACTATACAGATGAATCTGAAAGTCGTCCTGAATTACGAATGCCTGAAGAAACATCTCAATTTTTTATTGACAATGCTCAAAATTTTAATAATTTAAGGTGTGTTAGAGGAGATATTGAATTAGTTATTGCATTTTTCAAAAAATTTACTGAAGATGGTAGTCAGATGTTTGTTCACTTTCCAACAAGAATTGAGTTATTTAATTTAGTCAAAAGAAGTAGTTCTACTGAACAGAATTTGATTAGTCAAATAAAAAAATACCTTCCTCATAATGGTATGATTCAAGTAGAATATACAACTGGTACCCACGTTAAATCAAAAGAAGAGTTAAAATGTTTTGATGGAATTGAGTATCATTATATAGCTTTTAGTGATGGTCAATGTGAATTTATGAGTGAGGCTGTTGAATGTGATGAAGGAAAAATTGATATTAAAGGTACACTCAATTGTAATAGATTTAATTCTATTATAGAAAAATGTTATGCAGATATTATTAAACTTCATTTTGAAAAACCATTTGAACAAGAAGAAGGAGATGTTTTTAAAAGAAAAAAATATGATGATTGGAGCATACCAAAATGTGTATTAACACTAGAATTAACACTTAGCTTTGAATACCAAATTGATGACTATTATTTAATGCCAATTGTAATGGACTATCTTCAAATATTAACATTAAATGAATGTGGGAATATTTCATTTGAAGGGGATTATCCATTATTAAGAGAAGTAAATATTTTAGGAAGTCATGATGTTCAATTCATTGGTAAAGATAAAACAATAAATATTATAGAAATAGCTATTGAAGGATGTAATTATTGTTCTATTGAATTAAAATTTAGTCCAATAGAATCAGTTATATTACAAGATGTTGAAGAGGTAACAATGAACATTAAAATGGAATCTCTAAAAGAATTTGTTATAATGGCAAGTAGGAATTGTTACTTTAATCCAGTCTCATTCAAAAATTTATTTGTTCAAATAGAAGAGTCTTCAGAAATTAGTTTTTATAATATTGATAAAATAAATCAATTACCAGAAGATCAAGACATAGATGATGAGGATTTGATTTCTCCATTACAATATTGTGGAGTTGATTATATAAAATTCCAAGAAATAATACAAAACTGTATCTTTTT